AAAGTCATTAAATATCTGTTATTCAGTCCATGTACAGAGAGCAAAGCATATGATTGAGTTGGATCTTCTTCTCCTGGTGACATCTTATAAAAATGAGTATTAAGAGGGAACTGGCCAACAGCGGGAAAAGGGCAGCAGAGAAACAAACTCCAGTCAACAGAAATTCCAAACCAATGTAAACAGAGTTATAAGAGAAACAGAAAACTATGGAAATGTGCTACGGGATGTCTGTACACAGTGTGGAGGTGCACTGCTGTGACTGGTGTAATAAAGAGCTGAACAGCCAATAGCGAGGCAGGAGGCATAGGCAGGACTTCTAGGCAGAGGGAGGAGGAGGAGGAATCTGGGCACCCAAGAGTCACAAAGAGACAGAGGAAGCAGTATGGGTAGTACATGACAGACGTAGATTAATGTATTAATTTAAGCTATAAGAGCTAGTTAGGAATAAGCCTAAGCTATAGGCCAAGGTTTCATAACTAATAAGAAGTCTCTGTCATTATTCTGTGTCTAATGGCAGGCGGAACAGAAAGACTCATTACAGAAATGCTGATGCCAAGCCGGGAGATGGTGATGCACGCCTTTAATCCCAGCACTCGGGAGGCAGAGGCAGGTGGATCTCTGTGAGTTCGAGGCCAACCTGATCTACAAGAGCTAGTTCTAGGACAGGCTTCAGAGCTATAGAAAAACTTTGACTTGAAAAACCAAAAAAAAAAAAAAAAAAAGAAAAAAAAAAAAAAAGAAAAGAAAAGAAAAGAAAAAGAAAGAAAAGAAATGCTGATGCTGTTATCATCTAAGAGGCTTTAGAGTTACTGCCTGAGTAACTCAGTTAAGGCAAACTTATCAACACATTGAACACAACAGTTGTGGGGAAAATGAAGGAAGATAACCCAGAAGAATTATAGCGGTCAACAACGAACAAAACTAAGTCAATTCTAATTAAAGGAACTTTGGGAGCTATTTCACAATATAAAAAGTGCAAAGAATAAAATGCTAAAAGACTGTCCAAACTCAGAGAGGACTTGTCAAGGCATAGGAAATACATTCATTCCAAGTCACATGATGAGAAAGCAAGTACTGTTTAAGCTACACTTGATAATAAGCTATTTCACAGAGAAACAAAACACGCTTGTGTATGTGGTGGCAGGAGGGCACGGGAAAGGTCAGACTACTCGTGGGAGTCGGTTCTCCCTACCTTCTAGGTTAGGGAACTGAACTAGGGTCACCAAGGTTGGCCGTAAGTACTAGGTAAGTGAGCCATCTTGCTAGCCCTGTTCGACGAAAGCTTTTAAAGTTCACAGAACAACTCTGACTTTTCTGCTATTAATTAGAAGATTGTTTTGGGGCCACCAGGCCTGATGAATTGAGCTTGGTCCCTGGAGCCCACATGGTGGAAGGGAAGAACTAACTTCCGCAAGTCATCCTCTGGCTGCCATACAATGTAGCATGTATACACCCCTTCTGCCACATTAACAACCAAACAAATAAAATATTCATAGTCCACTTTCAGCTTGCGTTGTTACTTGTATAGTTCATATAAAACAGGAACCACATACCCCTATAACTTCTAGTACAACAAGGGGCCTATTATTTAAGAAACTCTCTTCCCTTCCCCCTGGTCCTTCCAATCTTTTCAAATAAAAAGAAGTTTGAATCAATATGGGCTGATGGTTTTTAGCCCGACAGTGTTTGCACATGTCTTTAATCCCAGAACTCAGGACACGGAGGCAGGTGGATCCATGAGTTCAAGGTCAACCTGGACTATACAGCAAGTTCCAAGACAGCCAGGGCTACCCAGAGAACCCTGCCTTGAAAAACAAAATAGACAGGTAGGTAGATAGGAAGATAGAGAGATAGATGGATAGATAGGTAGGTAAGTACATGAAAAGAAAAATTAGTTAATTAAAAAAGAAGATAGCTTTGCAGGACTGACAGTTACCACTGCCACAACTGTGGTTTCCCAAACTCAATTATTATCCAAAACACATACTGTAATACTGAAAGATGGCTGAATAACTTGATGGTCATTCAGTTTGTCTTTTGTGATAACATAGGATTTCATGTCTGTTCTCCTCCGTTGAATGCAAGGGCAAAACAGTAAGGGTAATAAAAGCAATGACGGAGAAGAAAAATTGCGAAGGTGTAAACTACACCCCAACCTGAATACTGTTTCAGTACAACTCATTACAACTTTAGATAAATTATTTCTTAAAAACAGATATTCCTGGGCTGGAAAGATGGTTCAGTCATTAAAGCCTAGGCTCACAATCAAAAGCACCAGAAATACACGCTCCTTCCAGGGATGGGGGCTCACCTTGGGATGCTAAAACTGGAAGAGTGCCAAGAGTTTGAAGTCAGCCCAACCTAACGCACACTGAACCCCTTCGCAAAACAAAACAAACTAAAAGTTAAAAGGATATGAACACTTCAAGTTCTTAATCTATGGAATGGGCATAATGATACCTTCAGCGAATGACTGTAAAACTCAAAAGAGAGAAAACATATTAAAGACTTAGCAAGTTGTGGCACACAGATAATAACACTTATTTTCCCTGATAATACTATCATTAAAGCTCATTAATGTAAATACGATAGAGCTATAATGTCAGAAGTAGTACATAATACATAGTACATAGTTTAGATGTATTTATATAGCTTTTACTTGTTGGGTTATTTTGGTTTTGTTGTTGTTTGTTTTGTTATTTTATTTTTGAGAAAGTGTTTCATGTGGCAAAGTCTGGAATTGAACTCCTGATTTTCCTGCTCCTGCGTACCAGGTGCTGGAATTAGAGGCATGTGCCAACACATTCAGCTTTTTAAATCTGCTTATTATTCAAAGGGCAAATCCTCACACTCCAAATTACAATATTCACCACTATGTTATATGGTCAGACAATCTGACTCAGCCTCCCTCAAGCCATTTTCTCCCAAGGTTTGTACGCAACGAGCTGCCAACACACTCATTGACCCTCTTCACTCAACCCTTTTGATGGCTGTGTCCAAACCGTCCCTCAGTCTACTCCGTTTCCTCTTCTGAGCACATGAAGAAGTAGAGCCATTTCCCATTTCTCTGAGCTATTTGCCAAAATACAGTATCTTCCTCTCTCACAGTCCACATGACTCAACGGCCAGTTTTCTCTTTTGATTCTAATCTAAAACCTTGGTTCTGAACCAAAAGTCTTCATTACCTATGTAGATGTATAAAACCGACTAGGGCTAGGTCCTTTACTATACAGTTCCTCTTAAAATACATGACTCGAGTGAGCAATGCCTACTTTAGCACTTTCTGTGACAAAAAGCTCTTGCTCCCTTACCCCCCATGCCAACCTGTTCCGAGACAGCATCACTGGTTAGGACGTCTTCCCTGTTGCAGAAGCAAATACCTTTCTCCTTCCAGTTATTTTCTTCCACCCACTGCACCTAATTCTACATTCAAGACAAAGTGTGTGAACGTCCAGCCCATCCAACATCTGAGAACTCCTAAGAAGGGAAAAATAAAAAGCTACACACTTCCAGTTCAGAGAACCATGATTTTTAAGTCTCCCTGGTGGTCATGAGCCTCTGATAGTCTTGCCAAAGCGATCTAAAATCGAACTGGCCAAGGGCTCGCTTTGTCGATGTTTGGGTTGCCAAGTAATTAGCCTATAAATAATGACTCTGCCCATCTTCTCCTTTACTGTACAAAAACTATTCATTTAAACTAGTCATTCAGAGAAAGTGATGTTCCATCTCAATCATGGTCTCAAGGGCATGGGACTAACATCCTGAAAACGGCAAGACTCGCTGCAGGATCACCTCACATGAAACTCGCCCTCGAGAAGGACTCGAGAATGGGAATGTGAGCTCAGAAGAGTTTTCCCTCGTGGCCTAGTAAAGTGGGTCCCGTTCAAAAGAAGGCAGTAGCAACCAAAGACTATTCTCTGCTGCTTGCCAAAAAAAGAATGACCAAACACTGTGCTCGCAAAAGCTGACCAAACTGGACGGAAGAAGTGGCAGATTTCTTTCTAGCATGGTAGAAATAATCATCTAGGAAATACACACACACACACACACACACACCCAGAGAGAGAGAGAGAGAGAGAGAGAGAGAGAGAGAGAGAGAGAGAGAGAGAGAGAGA